ACATCCTCAAATTCCCACATCCCCAAATTCCCACATCCCCAAATCCCCGAATCCCCAAATTCCCACAATCCCCAAATCTCCAAATCCCCAAATTCCCAAATTCCCAAATCCCCGAATCCCCAAATCCCCGAATCCCCAATTCCCCCCACCCCCGAATCCCCAAATCCCCAAAATCTCCGAATCCCCAAATCCCAAATTCTCAATCCACCCCAAAACCTTCAAATCTCCAAAAATCGCTAAAAAACCAGCTAATCCTCCCTCGTCCATGCATCAAAAATATCTAAAAATTATTCCTTTCAATTCCAGGTACCAAGAAGATGGAGTACAAGACCAGACAGTGGCACGAGAAATGCTTCTGCTGCGTTGTGTGCAAGAACCCGATCGGAACGAAGAGCTTCATCCCGCGCGAGCAGGAAATCTACTGTGCCGGATGCTACGAGGACAAGTTTGCCACCCGATGCGTCAAGTGTAACAAGGTAAGATATCGTAGATCTTCCGTTTCCTCGAAAGGAAAGCGTATATTGGTGAGACTTATGCGGAGGGTCGTTGTTTCGCAGATTATTACTAGCGGCGGTGTGACGTACAAGAACGAGCCGTGGCACAGAGATTGCTTCACCTGCAGCAACTGCAATCAATCCCTGGCTGGCCAGCGATTCACGTCTCGCGACGACAAGCCTTACTGTGCTGACTGTTTCGGAGAACTGTTCGCCAAGAGATGCACTGCATGCTCCAAACCAATCACTGGTACGTGTCCTTTGTGGAATACTAAGTCTTTCAAACATTGTTTGAGGTCTACTTTTTTTACTAGGGTAGGTCTAGTTTTTTTACTAGAGAGGGTAGGTCTAATTTTTCTACTGGAGGTAGGTCCAATTTTTTTATTATTAGGGGTAGGTCTAGTTTCTCTATTAGAGGGGGTAGGTCTAATTTTTCTACTATAGGGGGTAGGTAGTTTCACTACTGGAAAGGGTAGGTTTAATTTTACTACTAAAGGGGGTAGGTCTAGTTTCTCTATTAGAAGGAGTAGGTCTAGTTTCCCTACTAGGGGGGTATATCCTCAGATTGCTTCATGTAGGAGGTCTATGTCCTCAGCATGCTTTATGTGAGAGACGGCTATCTCCTCAGCATACTACATATAGGTCTAGTTCTTCTACTAGGGGGTAGGTCTAATTTCCCTACTAGAGAGGGTAGGTCTAATTTTACTACTACAGGAGTAGGTCTAGTTTTTTTGCTAAAGAGACTAGGTCTAGTTTCCTTACTAGAGGGGTATGTCTTCAACATGCTTCATATAGAGGGGACATGTCCTCAGCATGCATTATGCAGGGAGGCTATGTCTTCAGCAAACTGTATGTAGATCTAGTTCTTCTATTAGGTGTATGTCTAGTTTCCCTTCTAGAGGGGTTGCATCCTCAATATACCTCATGAATGTCTCAAATACAGTCATGTCAACTTTGAGAATCCTTAGAGGTGTAGGTCTACTGTCTCTGCTAAGAAGTAGGTCTAGTTTCCCTTCTAGAGCAGCTACGTCTTCAATATACCTCATGAATGTCTCAAACACAGTCCTATCAATTTTAAGAATCCTTAGAGATCATAGGTCTACTGTTTCTGCTAAGGAGTAGGTCTAATTTCCCTCCTAGAGCAGTTACGTCCTCAATATTCCTCATGAATGTCTCAAATATCAGTCCTGTCAATTTTGAATATCCTTAGAGGTAGCTTTACTTGCCTCCTAAAAGATGTTAATCTACTTCTCCTATTAGAGGAGGTAGATGTATGTCCTCAATATATCACCTGTCAATTTTAAGAATCCTTAGAGATAGTAAGTCTACTGTCGCTGCTAAGAAGTAGGTCTAGTTTCCCTCCTAGAGCAGTTACATCCTTAATATACCTCATGAATGTCTCAAATACCAATCCTGTCAATTTTTAACATCCTTAGAGGTAGCTTTACTTGCCTCCTAAAAGATGTTAATCTACTTCTCCTGTTAGAGGAGGTAGATGTATGTCCTCAATATATCACCACAACCTTGAATACCAACTTTAACAAGTTTAAGAATCCTCATACTTCAAAAACATAATGCAAATTCATAAATCAACTGTATTTAAAATATCAGACTTCTTGAGTAGAAACTGTCATTATGATTGTATGCACAGGTATTGGCGGCACTCGCTTCATCTCTTTCGAGGACAGACATTGGCATAACGACTGCTTCATCTGCGCGGGTTGCAAGACCTCGTTGGTCGGCCACGGTTTCATCACCGATGGCGAGGACATCATCTGCCCCGATTGCGCGAAGATGAAGCTGATGTAAGAAGCTGAACGAAGAGCAAAGATCGATCGAGCGAGGAGGAACGAGCGAGGAGAAAGAGGAAGAATATAGAATACCCTCTTTGCTAGGATCGCTCTTGGTTTTCGAGAGCAATCAGAGGACTCCGCTTCGAGAAACCATAGAAACGAACGAAATTGTATCTATATTATCGAGATAGAAATTACCGTGTTTCTCTTTTATTATATTCTCGAGATATATACAGTTTGTTAAAGAACGCGCACCCGAAGCTTATTTAGCATTGTATAATTTCAACACATGAAAATAATAAATAAATATTGATCACGTTATAGGTGTGTAATGTTAAGAGCGAGAGATACCTGGTTTGACGCGTTCGAATCTGCCGTATGTTTCCGGCGATAAATTTATATTCTAAGAACGCTGAGAGAGAAAATTACGAATAAATTATTTATGTATAAATAATCGTACGGCAGACTCTGACGGGTTAAACGCATCTGTACGAAGCAGATTTTTAATATCGTTCCCGTTCGTTCCGATGAGAATCATTAGATTTTTAAGCGAACAGGAAATGAAATTATACGTTGTTAAATAACTTCCAACTGTGTACAGCTTGGAAACACGATAATTTTTCTCGGAAAATGCTGCTCGACGATCTCTTCGCAGACTAATTTTCTCGGAGCAGAGAACGCGAGCAGACGCGGGGTAGCTTCGTAGTGTTTAATGGACGTAGTCATTTTTTTCGTTTCGACTTCGCAGCAATTGCGAAACGCAGACGAAACGAAAAGAGCACGCCTTCATCGAGAATCAAATCGCCTTAATTTGTAATTAACCGTCGTCGAGCTGTTACACCGTGTTAAATTAGAAACGAAGCTGTCGTTACTGTTTTATTTTTTCTTTCGCTTTGTACAATGGTAGAGAAACGCGCGACGATGGAATTCACGCGAGCAAATAAACGGATAAAGATGGATCCTATATATATTCTTATGGAACTAAATTTGATATACGTACGATAATGTTATTTTTATTTAACTTAAACTCACACACACACGCGCGCGAGCGAATAGTCATACTTACACGAAACACGTGCCACTGCACGCTTCTTTCTCTCTCTATCCTTTCCCTATATAATTAGAAATTAACCCCTTGCTTTGTAATCTATTTAAATTTGCTATTTATTTAAATATTCAAGTGTCTTGTTTGAAATTGTCGATATTTAAGGGCGTTTCGAGTACGACTGCGAACGCGTTCTTTTACGCGGGGAATTTGAAATATTGTATAGGTAGTAATAGGCTGTTGCGGAAAATTATAGTGAAGTCTTGCTACACAGCTCTGAAGAGCGTTGAAATAATTTTTGAACTACTTCCGAAGTTCTCGAATTTGCAAGACAGCACTTGTTACACTTTGTTTCGCTTTTCCCTCGTTTTACGTTAGAGTAGATACACGGTAAAGTTCGAGTCGTATAAGGCAGGGGGTTGAAACGAGGGGTTCGAGTGCACCTGTCGTTTACGCTCTGCATTTTAAGATCAATTGTGACACATTGTGTTTCAATAGCAATAATTTGGAATATCTTTGAACCGTGCACACGAGCCCAGAACGTCACGCGACGTTGAAAGTCGTTTTTCTATCAACCGTTCCTTGGTTTTTCTACGTCGACCACCACCTTGAAACGAGAAGAAAAACACGAACACATACATATACACACACACATATGCCAGAGTGTGCAAACACGCACACGCGGACGAAACACTAATTGTGGCCTTATCCGCACGAGTACGTAGGAGTAAAAAGCAAACGCGAACTTACAAAAATAATTATCGTTACTATGGTACACGACAGGGATTTATTAGCCGTCTGTAAAAGGAGACGAGCGCGCGAAGTGGATAAGAACGAGCGAGGATGTACCTCTTTATAGGGATAAAACGAATTTAAGAGAAAAAATATATCCGCGAAGAACGAATGTGAAAATCATCGTGACACGACCAATAATTACACGTGCTATATATACATATATATATAATATATGTTCTTACCGATCACTCACATACTAATCGCCTTAATTAGTAAACGATAAAAGAGCAGAGATTATTCTATATTCAGCGTATCGTATACACTGTTATATTGTAAAATTGATAAATAAATAAATGTAATTATTTACCGGGAGTTTTATTGAAATCGTTGGGGAAATGGGAATATTATCTTATTAATTTCGGGGAAAATCAACCCTTGTTCGAATAAATTTCTTTGTAGAACACCTATAGCAAATTTTGAAAATTTAGAAAATTCCGAATACCGCAAAAATTCGGAGTGGTAAAAAATTTACTTTTGAGTCGATAAAGATTATTTCCACAGACATCTTTCGTGAACAAGAGCTTATTAACAAAATTTGATGGGTGACGGGGGTTGAAGGTGCTCTGAGGTTTCGCTGAATTGTTTAAAATTGATGATGATTTAGTAAAGTCAAAACGTTCCGAAGTTGATTAGTATTGTACTCCAATGTAATTTGATGCATATTATAGTCAATTAAAGCAAAAAAAATTAATATTAATTGGGTTTTCGAAAATTGAACTAGTGGCGCCATCTCTCCAGCAAACAGGGTGAACTACACACATTTGAAAAAGAGGTTTCATTAATTCTTCAAAGCGCCACTAGTTGGCGCCACGTTCGGTAACGTGTGCTGCCGTCTAGCGGTAAAAATTAGAACTAATTAAAGGTGTGTTTCAAAAGTGTGTAGTTCACCCTGTTCGCTAGAGAGATGGCGCCACCCTATTTTCGCCTGAAAACAGGCAACCTGAAATACGCAAGTGTAAATGAAATTGTGAGAACAGGCGCTTAAATAAATTATTTAAAACTACTATACACACTAATTATTAAGCAAAGTATTTTTACAATAATAAAATAACTGCAATAAATATTGTACTCGATAGTAGAATATTAAAAAATTAACAATTAGGAATATTTACCACACTCTTTCTAAGAAATATCTCATATAAAATATTTAGCATTATTTGAGTGGATCGCTCTGCGCAATATTATGAAATCAAAATTAAAATATATTTCGAACTAACCGATTTTCGAAACCTATAATAAAGAGTGTTAAAATGCATCTACTGACATTTAAAAAAATTAGGTCTCGTTTAAAAAGTGAGAGTGCCCTTGGAACTTCTGAAACAGTTTCATTTCTGTAACTATTAAACACTGGTTACTGTATTAAGCAATTAAACAATTACTTAATGTTAAACAATAATTACTCTCCATTAGACAATATTTAATTTTGTGTAATACAATTATTTTACTACTTTAGAGTTACAACTTTCTTTCACTGTTTTAGAGCTGTAACCTGACCCAGTTGCGTGTGGGGCATCCTATATACTGGGTGTCCGCTTTTATTTCTGCAATCATTTTAAATTATTTCTGCCTCAAAAAATATTACAAACACTACTAATACATATTACAAACATAAATTTTTCCTACACCTCTTTGTGAGACTTTTTAAAGAATCTTCCAACATATTTTAAATTCAAGAATCATCTTATACAAATATTTCACGTATAAAAATATTTCACGAATTATTCATCCGTCTTATATTATCACTCACATGTTTACCATTTTACACTAATGTTCTCCAACATTTTACCCCCCACGTTTTACAAAATAAATTCTACGTAACTCATAAGAAACAATTATTGAAATCCGGCGAGAGTTTCAATCCAAGAAAAATTTGCACTTCGAACATTTAATTTTGCGAAAAACAAACATTTGTGACGACGCGAATAAAACAGTACACCCTGTACGTGAATTGCGTGAATGTAATTGATGGATACGATAGGAATCGTGATATTACACGCGTTATACAAATGTACTGGTAAACGTCGCTGTAGTTGCCTGTGCGTGTGAATGAACTTTGCAAAGGAAGTGCAGGAACCGCCCAAGTTGGATCGTTCGTGTTAGTCCTTGACCAGGGTAATCCTAAGAAAAATATAAGATATTGGAAGATCCAATGGAACACTTTCACCTGTATTCAACTCATTGCTGTTCCTTTATCGCAATTCTTACGTGTCAGTCAAAGGCGTGACGTAATTTGAAGTTCAACCAGTGTTTTCTTTTACTACCTATGTACGGGATCTTACTACTCGAGCATTCTACATTATTGCGTTTCATTAATATTAGGCTGGCAGTAAATATGACCTTTTCTGTCATTCACGTTCGAACTCTACGATAAATGAATTTTTCGACATCAAATCAATCAAATTTTACGGCAAAATGAAGATTTCAATGAAAATCGAAAGAGTATTATTAAAAGTATTATTAATTGTAGAATTATGGATGATACTTCTATGAAAATTTACTTCTAATAAATAATTCGTTAACATGTTACGTTGTGAGGTTATATGCCAATTTAATACGTAATGTATAATACTAATTATTTTTCTAATAATTTTCTAATAATAATTTTATAATATTAATAATTTGTTATTTGATGTAAGTACTGGAAGGTGTTATCTAAATATTACTGGTACATAGATAAAAACAAAAATTTCGTAACTTTGACAAAACATATTCTAAACACTTGTAACAGAAAATAAATCAAAGCTTGAACTTTCTGTTCTCTGATTTCTATTGGTCAGATTATATTTAAATCAGTGTCCAAGACACCCTCTCTTACAAGAACTGTATAACTCTCTGGTGTTTAACAAATTTTCTACTGTTATAAACGACGATGTTTGCAATTGCGATGTATATCATCAGAAAGGTTGGTTCTTTACCTTTAAAATGAGTGCAGCTACTTTAAAATAGGACTACTTTTAAGGAAGTTATAACAATTTAAACAAACGCTTGCACTTTTGGTTAATGTTGGGCTTAGGGCCAGTGCCGACGCTAGAGATTAGGGGGCCTGTGCTAAAAATTTACAGTTTGCAAATTTTGTAAATTTATTAACTTGAGGATGTAGGAACTTTTGACTCCAAGAACTAGGGAGTTTAGACTTTTGAAAATTTGCAGATTTGCAAATTTGTAAATTTTGAAATATAGAAATTTGTAAATTTTGGAATTCAAATATTTTATTTACAAATTTGGGAATCTAGAAATTTGAAAGTTTTGGGTGTCGCAAATGAAATTAATTTGAGAAGTTGGGAATTGGAAATTTAGAAATTTGACAACTTGAAAATTTTCAGAAATTTTCTTATTTAATATAAATTATTATTGATTTATGTTAGAAAGAAATTTTATACAAATTTTTTACTTTTTTTCACTTACGCCTACATTCGATTTCCTTGCGTTTAAAGTCGTTCAAAAAGAAAGATCTCATTTCTTCTTTTAAACGACGTAATAAAAAATATTATCTACTATATTCTAAACAGAGTAGACTCTCATTATATTGCCGATTTCTTCACGCACCAATCCTCTGTCATTTCAAAACACAGAGAATCTTCTGAACATAAAACTTCATAACAAAATACATTCACAATGAAAAGAATGTTGATTCTCACACCTGCAATATAACGCGAGTCTCCTCTCTCTCATTCGCATCTCTCGCTTCTGCAGACACAGAAGTCTATGCACTTAGTCTTACAAAACGGTGGAAAATAATCCGAATAAAATTAACAAAGTAGAAAAGTTTATTTGTGTGTTATTTAATGACTGTTATATAGTTGTGAAGATTGATATCTATTTTTTTTTACCACATACGTATGTACAGATATCACGTCAATCCAGGTATGGAACTCCTTAAAATCATTTGATCGATAGCTTTTATTTAATATCTTGGGAAAAGATTGTTATTGTATGGTTGTCTGTAATCTGAATTATCGGGACCGGGGGGGTTAGCGGCTAGGGCTCGTCTGATGGCTTCTGGAATCGGAGGAGGGGTTGGTAGATGCGCTCCCTGAGGGTGGAAGCCATTTTCGTCGGCTGTGTATTCTACGGTAATCGGAGATCCGTCTGGGGCGGTGTACGAAAATCTACCTTGAACGACCTAAAAAATAATGTAAGAACAATTGTCAAACAAGTGAAGTAAAAAATAAATGATACAATTAGCATCGTATTAAGAAATTTAATCTATGAAACACTTTATTCATCACTCAGTTAAAAAATAAATGGAAGTAAATTTTTTTTATAAAATATATGCGTCTTCAAAAATTTATTTTAAATAGAGTAAAATATTATTTAATACAGAGTAAAGGTTAACATTAAACAAGGTTAAACGTAAGGTCAAAGTTGTGAGACTAAAGTTTAAGGTTTAACGTAAGGTCAAAGTTGCGAGATTAAAGTTTAAGGTTTAACGTAAGATCAATAGATATTTTATGCTAAGGACACAGTTACATTCATTAAAAATTTTTTGAAAAATTATATTATTAAATAGTAGATTACCTCGCTTTGTCCTTGTCCAGAGCCTTGAGGACGACCACTTTCGGCAACGGAAATACCGTTTTCGGTGTCATAACTGAAGGTGTAGGTACCGTCCGGGTATGTATCCTTCTGTTGACTGCGAATAGCTATAAATCTTCCAGGACTACTGTAAAACAGGTAGCAAATGATCTGTTGTTTAGCTATCAAATTAGTACAGCAATAGAGACGAAGTTGTCATAGAGTTATTAAAGTGAATCAAGTAGCTGTCAAAATGGCGTCAATCAATCCTTTTCTAACAAACGTGATTTATCGTGTTACCATTTAGAATGAAAATTAGACACTGTCTATAACTAAAAAAATTTAATATGGGGCGTTTAATATGCATATGTTTGCATCATTAGATAATAACATATGTACATCTTGTTTTAAAATGTAACATAACAAAGATACCCTTGATAACTTGCTGAGTTACTAATTCAACCCTTGCATAATTCTAACGTTACAAAATGGCCGCCAGTTGGAGCATGCTTAAGTCTGATGCACATTTTGTACTCGATGATCAACCTTTTCTTCATATCTAAAATCCCTTGTTCCAAGGTTAGTTAACCATTTTATACCATGTACACGTTACAATGTGCATGACATGTACAAAATATGTATAAAGTGTATTTTTGCAACATAGTGTAGTTTTGCAATTGTGTAATTTTAAAATGTATGTTTATCAGCCACATAACATATGTTTATCGTCTCATTATGTATTTATAGGGGCAATTATTTGCAAGATTAAGAAAGTGACAACATTCGGATACTTGATAATTATACTTACCTATATGGTTGATTATATTGAGGCGTTGGTTGTTGGTAGTTTGGTCTAGGTGTTGGAAATCCGCGTAGTGAACCGAATTGTCCTAGCGCGCAGCCGAATAGAGCAAAGACCAATATCTGTAATTATATCATTTTAGTAACATAAACTTCAGGTATTTTATTCTGTATAATCTATCAGAATGTTTATCAGATAAAAATTTTGTGTATACATATTTTCAACTTATTACTTTCATCAGTGAAGTAATGAAAATTGTATAGGAGTTTTATATAGTGTAATATTTTTTTAAACAGTATTTCAGTCAAATTTTCTATACATATAAATTGCCAAACTTGATTGATATACTGTCTAAAATAATTAATGAATAAACCTATTAAACGAGTAATATAAATTTCTTCATCGACAAAAATGATATGTTGCAAATTGATTTAGCTTGTTTCAGTATTAAACAGAATTTATGAACTTAACACTTTGACTCACGTCTTCTAAAAATTATGTATACAATTATATTTGAGACAAATTTTACTACTTGCAGTACAACTAACAAATGTGATAAAAAATTATATTTGATACAATAGATTGAAATCAAATAAAAAATTATAAGTACTTAATAGAATATCTTATGACACCGATATTGTTGTCTAACATTTCTTGTTTGCTGCTCAACATTTCTTTCTGTATTTTTAAACAGATAACTAGTCGCTAGATTTTGTACCATCCAGTCTTCAAAGTCAGACTTTAATATCAAGTCAGAGACTCGCAAAACCCATCAAAAAAATCTTTGAAACAAAATATGAATATCCTTGTACCACGATGTTAAAAATTAAAGTACCCAAAATAGTCTACCATCTCAAAAAGCTTATTACAATTTTAAAGCGTGGAAATATTTTGTGAACAAAAGATTACTCGTTGATCCATAAATATCTAGTCCGAATATTACAAAATATTCACAAACAAGGTGACAAGTATTGTCGTAAAAAAGTATAACGAGAACGTGACGCTGTCAAAGAGTTAAACAGATCAAATTCACTCAAATTTTGAAAAAAATAATTTGTCTATCGATTCGCGAGTATCACTCACTAAGTGCTGCATGACGACGGTTTGTTGTCGATTTGAACAAGATCGACTCTGCAGTATGGTGTAGAAGTACAGCCGACATTTATATGAAGCCGCCGAAGAAGATTTTCCCTTCCCCCATGCGTTTAAACCATTCTCTCTTCATAGTTTCCACACTCGCCCTCACAATTTTGCCCCACCTTAACTCTGCTCCTCATCATCTTACATATTAGAATTAATGTTAGCAAGCATGAATTGTTCATCGATGGCGAGTCGATAGGTAGCAATTAGCGATGTCGTTATCGAATTTGTCACCAGTTATATTTATCGTTAAACGCATAAGGGTAATTTTCTTATATAATTTAACACGCAAGGTGTGTCACTATTTATTTATTACAAAGGTAATTTTTGGAGGGCCATAAATAATTTGAGTTTACTATAAATTAAATTTTAGGTTAGGTTCACCCTACAGGCGCTAAATTGAATTTTAGGTTAGGTTAAGATTTGTTGCAAATATATTACATAGTATACTATAGAATTCTTTATCTTTATTGATTATGATGCTTTCAATCATTCGATGTAATAGTTATTTTAAAAAGTAGCTGTATTTGTATTTTTTATATACATAATTGTGTTTATGTAAATAAACTGAGATTGTAAAAAGAGGGACCTTTTATATCACTTCACTCTTTTAAATTATTTTAAAGATATACTTTGTTGTGGCTAGACATAGTACATAAAATAGTCGTGCACTAATTCCATGCTAGATAATATCCTATTAAGAACACTCTGTATTCATATAAGCGTATGCACACATTCTATAAAAAAGACACACATGCTATTAAAACTCTAAAATTTCTTGTTTCTACAAAAATTGTAAAAATAAAAGCCTCCAAAAGAGGAAATTATCAAGCTATGTACAGCCAGTTAATTTCTTTAATTTAAAGAACAAAATTTGACTCTCACATATGAACAGAAATATTTTCAATATTTTAATTATACAGATATCCAGTGTTCCTTAAAAAAAATCAGAAAAACAAAGCAAGGATAAAAATAATGTATTCATAACATATAAGCTAATGAGATATATAGGTTATATCGTAATGAAGTGATAAAGTAAGGTTAACTGCAATTTACATAATTTACAAAAATTATTCATGGTCCATAGCTTATAAATAATTTAAAAACTAAAAGGTGTGCGAATAATTTCTACCCCCTGTAGAATATGGACTTTTCTGCATGACTCAAAATTTTGTGCAGTAGAATGAATAATTTGTAAGTAGATTGTTGTTCTGACAGGACTCCAACGGTATGCGCTTCTATTTGTATCTTTAGGAGGCTTTAAGGCTTGAGATGATGGGGCATACCTAAGCTGACATGGTTAATAAAATTAGAAAGGTCAAACTAGATTCAAGCTCTTCAACTCTTGATATTTGACCGTCACGATAAAATATTTCACCTTGATTCACATTTTTATCGCGGTTAAAGCTCTTTGAATTGTCAGTTTTTGAAGCCATTTTAAGACAGATTTTTAATAGTCATTGATAGTTGCTGATAAAAGGTTCAAATTTTAAAAGTGCAAGTAAATTATTATTCTATTTCAAAATATAATCATATGAATTTGTGCAAGGTTTAGTAGCAGAATAAATTGGGGTTAGATATAATTTATTAGTTTTTATTGTCTTCATTGAAATTTGTTAATGATTAGTGAAACTTCTAAGTAAATTATTTTATGAAAAATTATTATTTAAAAAATAAAAAAATATTCCATCAAATACAAAATATTAATAATACATAAAATATAATTGCTCCAGTGATGGAAATTTTTACTTGCTTCAAATAATTTCATAATATAATTCACTTCATTAATTTATTAGACTGCAAAATTTTTAATTAAGGTACCTAAAATTTCTATCAAAAAATCATTTTTAATATACAAAATATTAAGAATTCCTTTTATTGCTGCACTTTTAATTTTTAACTCGTTTGACTATATTAATAATACAATGTAACGTGTAATTAATGTAATATAATAAACGCAACGCATAATAAAAGTAATAAAAAAGAAGTATTCGATTGGATCGTCGTTGTACCGTTGTTCCCGCCCTTTAGACGGAATTGTCAAGGTTCGGTCAGCGAAAATTCATGGTGAAAGATTAACCATGGGAATCAGGATACCCGGCGATGACGAAGGAATAACTATGTATGAGGATGCTTTAATTTCTGCGAATGCCTCCCATATACAAATTATGAAATCAAACTGGTATTCAGACGACTCCTTCGTTTATGCTCTACCCTTCTTCTCTGTTTTTTTGTTACACGTGACGAAAGATGAAAGGAATTCATCCTGTCATATTCACGCCCAGTGAACTATCAACCTGTAGCATCATTCTTGGCTCAATTGCATTGCTTGCGAAGCATTTGGCGTATTCGGGCTTAGTTTTCAATGAAATATTACACTATAACATTACTTTCCATATTATATTAATTTTATATCTTTTCGTTAATAACACGAAACGTTTATCTCCTACATAAATTTCCTTTCGACGTATTCAAATGTATACGTTAATGGAGTATTGTGTTAACCTCTTTTATTGCTGTTTTCATATTTTTGCATTAATGAGATTCAATCATCCGAAATTCATTTAAATATATTATAATGCCTACATTTCGTTTCTATGTATTAAATAATATTAAGTTTCGTCTTTTATGCAAGAAACTGTACAAAATTGTTTGATGACATTTGCAGAGGTTAGTTTATCTTTCTATTGTATCATTTTCACCATTAACACTTTACAGATCTTATTATTTAACAATACTACTATTTTATTATTCAAGTGCTGTATTATTCCGCTATTTTATAAATTATTATACTATTACACTATTCTACTATTTCATAATTTCATTCTACTATACTAGTATATTACTATACCAGTACACTGTTATAATAATTAATACTGATCGATTTATACTACTATGTAAATATATTGTTATACTACCGTACTATTATACTACTATACTGCTGCACTACTATACTACTATGCTGCTGTACTACTATACTACTATACTGCTGCACTACTATACTAATATACTGCTGTACTACTATACTACTATACTACTATACGACTGTACTGCTATACTGTTATACTACTATACTACTATACTACTGTACTATTATACTACTGCACTACTATACTACTGTACTACTATGCTACTGTACTGCTATATTACTATATTCTATACTGGTATAATACTATGCTACTATACTACTATACTACTATACTACTATAATACTATACTACTATACTAATATACTACTATACTACTATACTACTATACTACTATACTACTATATTGCTATACTGCTGTACTACTATACTACAATATTATTATGTTACTGTACCATTATCCTACTGCACTGTTATACCACTATGCAACTACACAACCATACTACTATATTAGTATTCCATTATGCTACTATAAATGCATACAACTAATAAAAAATAGAATAGTCCACTTTAACCTATTCAAATTAAAAATACCAATAAACAACCATGCCTACGTACAACAATAAATAATTCTATCGTATTATACCAGCAAACAATTGCCACCAAAAATTATTTATGTAAATATTACTTCATTACAAGTCAATATTTGCACCATAACCAACAGCTACAGAATTTCTGCAACAAGCTCTGCTATCGAAGAACATTCATTAACAAGGTAATTACACATATAAATTGAGAAGATTGAAGATTTTAATTTTGAAAATATTGAGATCGCAAGATCCGATATGCGGGACGCGTCAAATCCTTTTACTGTAATATTCGATTGGTCGATCGTTCGGCCGATTGGTCGGTTGATCGTTGTGTAATGGACAAGAGACCGATGATTTGCTTTCACTGACTCACCTTTAGCGTGATATTACGATTACCATTAACATTAGTCCAACTGGCATTTCGGTCACTCTTCCTAAAATCTTCTTCTCATTAATGCAGAGGTGGGGTAGCGCTAATTGTAGGGGAAAGGACCACTATTATACTGCGCTATTATGCAATAGGTATACTCTATTCGAATACATATTAGGTAAAATACACAAAATCATGTGCTACAATCGTTTATTTGTGTGAACCAAATTTTTGTTATGAGAGAGTGGAACAATTTTTGGAAGGGTGTTGCTTGTTATTTTTAATGAGGATATGTGTAATGTTACCTGTGAAATATACAGAAAAAGATATTTGTCTATAAATACTTTTACAATGCTTGCCACTATTAAGAAGTGTGCGAGAACATACCTTATGATCTTATTAGGTCAAAGTCTGGGTCCTGACACAGTATCGCGTTAAATATTATGTAACAAATTTTTTAATAGTTTTATTCAATCCGCTGGTGTTTTATTCAGACCGTGAAAAATTATGGGACTCTGAAATTTAACATCTGGAAATTTTGGTACGTTTTGACACTTTGAAAACTTTGGGAATTTGAGAGTTTTTGGATTTTAGACTTTGGAATTTTGGACCATTGAGAATTTGGAATTTTTTACTTTTTAGATTTTGGATATTTGGATTTTTTGGGGTTTTGGAATTTTTTTAATTTGGAACTTAAAAATTTGAAATTTTCGAAATTTTTGAAATTGACTAATTTGTAGTTTTGGAATTTTCTATCTTTGCAATTTTACAACTTTTCAATTTTCTAAATTTCGAATTTTCCAACTTTGAATTTTCCCAGCTTTGGAATTTCCCAACTTTTCAATTTTCTACATTTCGAATTTTCCAACTTTATAATTTTCTAAATTTCGAATTTTCCCACTTAGAAATTTTCCAACCTTGCAATTTTCCAAATTTCGAATTTTCCAGCTTTGCAATTTTCCAAGCTTCGAGTTTTCCCAATTAGAAATTTTCCAACTTTTCAATTTTCCAGCTTTGAAATTTTCCAACTTCGTAATTTTCCCTCTTTGAAAACTTAGAATTCCTTAATCTTGCTTAAGAATTTTGAAACCTTGGAATTCTAGAACTTCGTGAATAAGTATGGTCTTTAGGAATGCCATAAGCGTAGATGGAGAATGCCTTTCGATTCACAAGCAATGGTGTTAATTTGCAGTTTATGATACACTCTCCAGTTGTTAACTCCATAGGAATGACCCCTTATCGTCTTCCAATAATACCTACTTATACAGCAACAATGTTCTAAAGTACTAACAGGAGTTATTTATTATTCCACGAAGTGATATTTTCTTCCCACTAATTCATTCACATTAATCAATTCATCATGGTTTATAAACTAACTTGAAAGAAAGTGAACTTTCAAATGTTTTTAACAATTTATTTATTGTTATTATTTATGTATGAATAACATACATATTATTCCTGTATGAATAACATATAATAAAAATAATTTAAGAAAATACAGAAGATGTAGCATTAAATTTCAGAATAAAAATATTCCTCTATACAGTAGATAATAAATTGTTGCAACGTGTTTGTTTAAATATTTTATTGTATAATATTTAAATTAATTTAAGAGAGTAGATACAGTCGATACAAAAGCGTAATAATATTTATAAGCACTGTAATTACATGATGTGGATGTAGTATGCAGGCTTCCTGTATATTTATAAAATATACGTAAAGTTATTTACATTCGTAACACATATTTTCTTTTCTTCGATATATAAATGCTGTTGATTTGTTAATATCTGGTTTTCAATGTATATTGAACAAGGATAAACAACAAAGAGGCAAGGGATCATATATGGTAGCAATATTTGTCAACATTATACTCTTTTCACTCTTGTGTCAATAACCACAGTTGAGATTTTCAAATTGTTCAATTTTTGTGTTTTTATATTTTGAAATATTTGTATTTGCAAATTTTTATAATTTGGTGTTCTGAAATATTTTCTAGTTTTCAAGTTCTTAAGTTTTCAAGTCTTCAAGTTTCAAAGTTTTCAAGTTTTCAGGTTTTCAAGTTTTCAAGTTTTCAAGTTTTTAAATTTTCAAGTTTTCAAGCTTTCAAGTTTTCAAGCTTTCAAGTTTTCAAGTTTTCAAGCTTTCAAGTTTCCAAGTTTTCAAGTTTTTAAATTTAAAATTTTTCAAGTTTTTAAGTTTTTAAATTTTCAAGTTTTCAAGCTTTCAAGTTTTCAAGTTTTCAAGTTTTCAAACTTTCAAGCTTCCAAGTTTTCAAGCTTCCAAGTTTTCAAGTTTTTAAATTTAAAATTTTTCAAGTTTTCAAGTTTTTAAATTTTAAATTTTTCAAGCTTTCAAGCTTCCAAGTTTTCAAGTTTTTAAATTTTAAATTTTTCAAGTTTTCAAGTTTTCAAGTTTTCAAGTTTTCAAGTTTTCAAGTTTTCAAGTTTCCAAGTTTCCAAGTTTTTAAATTTTCAAATTTTCAAATTTACAACTTTCCAAGTTATTGAATTCTTAAGTTTGAAAATTGTTAAATTCTCAAATTCTCAAATTTGCAAATTCTCAAACTTTAAAATCCACTAATTCCCAAGTTGCTAAATTATAATTCTCTAAATTTGAAAATTTGATAATTTATAAAATCTTGTCTATAATTAAATTACACTCTCACCTCCCACTTCTCTCAAAGCACTTATAACATAATAAATTTCCACTTCAAACTCACAACTTCCCATTTTAAAAATCATCCAAATCCTCAAATTAAGTCCCAAAATTAAAAAGTCCCAAAATCCTAACACTGAATAATAAACGTACTCTGTATTCACCCATGATAAAATTATTCAGATATAACCTATTAACTAATTATATTTACTCTGTGCTTGAATTATACTTGATAGTACCTCTCACGTTTCCCGAAGTGCTCATAAAAGCATAGTTATCTTACCTAAATACTATGGACCATAGTGAGTCTATCAACCGTATACTTGTCCCCATAAACAATTCCGCCGTCCACGTTATATTCACGTAAACCAACATGGTATAATCGGTCCTCAGGTTATTATAGTAATAAACGATCTTTGAACACTGTGGTTATTGACACAAGGGTTAATTTGCTTTGTACGAGCCGTTTCCTATAACCGAGACACGTGTCACAATGTTTTAATATCTTCTGTAAAGTTCATCTTCTTCAGGGTGCGCTGCGTTGTGCGCCAAAGCGCGTTGTATCGCGACCGGTATCGGTGGTGGTGTTGGTAGATGAGCTCCGCTAGCTTGGAAGCCATTTTCATCCGCTGTGTAAGTCACCAAAATGGGTGTTCCATCCGGTGCCGTGTAACTAAACTGTCCTCTCACGGATTCGATTTGATTCGGTGGTGCGTACTTCGGTACACCTTGTTCTGCCACGGATATGCCGTTCTCTGTGTCGTAACTGGAAAAACAAATTGGTTTATAAATATTAATTTTATGTACAGGGTGTTTGGAATAGTAAATACTTTAGAAAGGACTATAAACTAGCGGCTAGGTGGCCTGACGCGAATTCGAATGCGGTTTTAAAATTCAGGACATAGTGTAAATGGGTGGAAGATTGAGACGTAGAGGTTTTTAAGTCTTTGTGAAGAATTAACTTGTATGATAGTTAAACTTGCCTTATAAAAAGTCGATTATTGATTGAGTGACGTAGACTGTGTTGTCATTGATGATGAGTTGTGGGGATTTTAAGTAACGGCTGATTCTATGTGTCAAGAATTGTGGACAACGATAACAAAATTGGTATTTTAGAGATTTAATGGTGGTGAACGATAGGTTACCGTCAGATTGCTGCCAAAATCTGTGTAGCAATTTTCCAATTCTCCAAATTCTCCAAATCTCCAAATCTCTAAATTCTCAAACTTCCCAATATCTTTAAATTTCCAAATCTCCAAATTCCCAAACCCCTAAATTTTCAAATTCCATAATCCTCAACCTGCAAATTCCTAAATCCTCAAATTCTCAAATTTCCAAATCCCCTCATCCCTAAATTCTCAAACTTCCTAATATCTGAATCTCCAAATCCCCAAATCTCTAAATTCCCTAATTCCCAAATCCCCAAATCTTTAAATTCCCTCATCCCCAAATCTCTGAATTCTTAAACCCCTAAATTTCCAAATTCCCCATCCTCCAACCCCCAAACCCCTAAATCTCCAAATTCTCAAATTTCCAAATCTCCACATCCCTAAATCCTCAAATCCCCAAATCCCCAAATCCCCAAATCCCCAAATCTCCAAATCCCCAAATCCCTAAATTCCCTAATCCTCAAATCTGCAAATTCTCAAACCCCTAAATTTCCAAATTCCCCAAACCTGAACCCCCAAACCCCTAAATCTCCAAAATTTCCCCTCCCAACATCCACAAATAATCCTCCAAATTACCCAATTTATTAAATTTCACTGTCTAAGAATAAAAACGCAGAAAAATCAGTAAAGGGACAATAGTTACGACGTAAAGTAGTTGAACGTTTTACGATTGCACAGAAATCAGTGATCCGACAGACGATTTGACGGGAGCGTCAAAACGAACACGTAAGGTGGATCTTTATCCGATTCGCCAAACAACAGATTGGATAGGTGGGGCCAACTTCTAGACACGGACGTTTCAGTGAACTAACATAATGCTGACTACTAAGTAGGTAGCTAGGTCGATTGTAATTATTCCATTGTGCAATGTATTATTGCTAACTGCGCAGTCGACTAACACAAATGATTAACATCGCAGCTAATTATATATCTTTTCACAGCTAAGTATCCTGTGGATCCTCTGTTTTATTTTTATTTATTCATGTTTACTCTACATAGATTTGTATCTATTAATATGCTAGTATTAGAGACAACTAACATCGTTGTCTTTGGATTAACATACACTGTTGTATTGTAATATTGTAAATATTAAAACACGATATTAATATAATAATATTATCAATATCTGTCCGGTGTAAAATTATTAATTTTAATTTTCATTATACTGACAGTATGATGTGTTATTAGATTTGATTATATTAACAATATCTTGATGTAGTGTTATTAGATTTGATTATATTAACAATATCATGTATTATTATGAGTATCGATTTTGATTATACTGAAATATTATGAATATTAATTTTGATTATACTGATAAATATAATGTCATAAATACTACGTTGATAGAACGTAACTAGAAATAAATACAACAATTTAAATGCCATTCCCAGTTTAATTTAAGAAGACAGATAATTTACGAAAGAGAGGAAGCACTAATTAGCTCAACGCAAGTGTAAAGTAAGCCTGGCGCCATAGGTAGATAACGTTTATTATACACTTATGTTTGAATGACTAGAAAACCGTCTGAAAGAGTGAACAGTAGTATGACCTTAAATGTTCTCATCCTTGACGCACCTGATCAATTATCGTCGAGGGAACTCGGACGTGTCGGGAAGTCAAGTTGCAGTAGAAAGTGCCGAATATCGGTTACAAACATTTCTATACACGATCTTTCTTTTTAATCATTCCACGTACACCTGACTTGTTAGGTTAACCAGAAGGTTTCGTCTTTTAAAGAGATATTCGATTATGAACGTTACATAACTAAAATCTTATTACGAACATATTGATTGCTATTTCAACGTGTGAGTCTTCATTTAATCATCATCTATTATCCTTGCCCTTTTACTACACGTATCATCATTCATTCGAATATTCTCAACAATAAATCTTGTAAACGATACAGTCATTTAGTGCAATGTGCAGGTCGTAGTTTAAACAACGTATCTTTAAGAGAATGATTAGACGTAATTTTGCTAAAATCTTTGGGAGATTTTTAAGTATTTGTGTGGAGAGATTTTGATATATTTTTATATGTAGCGATTTGGGGAAGTAGGAATTTGATGTAGGAATGTTAGGATATGAAAATCTGGGTTTCTAGGTATACGAGGGTCTGGAAATCTGAGATTCTGGGTATTTGGGGATCTAGGAAGGTCAGGACGTAGAAAGATTTTTGTATAGGTAGATAGGTTTTTAAGTATTTGGAAATCTAGGAATATCAAGATATAGAAATTTAGGTTTCTAGGTATTTGGAAATCTAGGAATCTCAGAACGTTGAAATTTGGAAATATGGGGACCTGGGAAAATAGAGAGACTTCTAGGTATTTTGAGATGTATGGATTGAAGGGTATAGAGGTCCTCTAGTGATATAGTAATTCGGATTTCTAGATATTTAGGGTTCTAGAGATTTAAAGATGTAAGGGTTTGAGAATATAGGAATCTATGGATGCAGATCTAGGTTTCTAGGTCCTTCATTTTTTTAGGAATCTGGGTTTCTAGGTAATCGTCAAGGGACCTAGAAATATAAAAACCTAGAGATCTAGTAATTTACTAGCAGGAAAGTAGTCATAGTCATAGCAGTCACAGTCTAGTAAAAAATATTCCTACATCTCCAAATACTCAAGAACATATAACAGACTAGCAATTATCTCTCAATTGAATTGAAATCTCCCTATCTAAAACCCTAGAATATTACCATTTAAGCCTACAAAAATCCTCCTCAAAGTTCTATATCTCATATAATTCTACATTTCCAACACTCTAAATTTTCTTTCCTTAATTTACCCTTCATTATGATAAACAATGTACCTTAGCACTAAACCACTTGATCGACGCAAATGGCTGAAAAATCGTGCGCAGCGTTAACTTGAACACCTTGTATAGCAAGTAGGTGTTTTTAAAATTGAGAACAAATGAGATTCTCCGAGCGTGTCGAGATCGCTTTGGAGGAAACGTACCTCGACGTCGCTTATCGTTCTGTCGACGTTCATGACGATGTGGAAGGACGATCTCACCTGTAGGAGTACGATCCATCCGGAGAGGAGTCTTGTGATTGTCGCAATATGGCGAAACGTCGGCCATAATAATCGGGATTGTACGGATATCTATTGTTTTGCGCATAACACATCGCTATAAAAACCATTAGAACGATCTGAAACATAAATAATGTAATTAAAAACGTATTAATAGTAATTGTGGTTGTTTCTCAAATGACACCTTTACACTTGGAGAAAATTTTTAATTTTACTTTTATTATAATCTTGTAACATTTTAAATCAAATTGGTATTCAAGAAGTAATCTTAGAGAAAGTTAATTGTAATGATTAAAAATATTTTGAATACAAATTATAAAATTCGTTGGTGATTATAAAAATTTATTGGAAGATCTTGGTTTCTTTGTATGAAATTCTTGAATTATTTTGCAAATTAATTTCTGTAAAATTTTCTAGAGTTTATTCTCCTTTGAAAGTGTACCTTGATTCCTTCAAACGCCATTTTAGACTAAGCTTGAATTTTATCTAAAATTGTACAAATTAATAAAATGCACATACTTCGATAATTAACATTACGTGTACGTAATGTAATGTATAATTGAAATATATTATTCTGCAAATTAGAAAAGAATGGGAACTAAAATTTGCATCTTCAGTCATTTACATGAAAACAAAGTCGTCGCATTGCAACAAAGTTGAAAATTATAATTAAGATAATTATAGTAATTGAATCACAGTTGCAAATGTGTTTGTTTTAATTCAACTAGAAATAATACAGCCAAACTTCTCATAAATCATGAATCATCGTGTATAATTGATGCACTATGTTCCCCGTTTTAATTATTTGATCCTCTTTTTCCGACGTGGCTATTGTTTGTAAGAAATTAATTCATTCATACATCAATGGAACGTTATTATTCAGCAAGATGATTGCAGATAATTTACTATGTTTTCAGAACACATTTCTGGACTATTTGGGAAATACTTTGTTCGTGTGGAATTTCCAGAATGAAACGCAGATTTAATCTGTTGAGGTTATGTTCGCTTACGTGGTTTAGGTATAATATAGTAGTAGCATATATTATATTGTCACTATTGCAATAATTTCAATATTATTATAGTATTGTGCTATAATAGAATGCAATAGTTAATAAATATAGCAAAGGCATATTTATTTAAAATAAATTGTAAGATATGTTAGTAATACTTTTTTATAGTATATCAGAAAATAATGTAACTGAATATTTTACTTCATTGAAAGTGCTTCAATAATTCAAACATTGCTATTTATGTAACAATACAATTTATTATGTAACAATTGCACAATTTCTAACACATTGACTGTCATGGCCGACAAATTAATGAAATCGAATAATAATTAAAAAAGGTACAATAAATTGAATGTTCGTATCAGGTAAAAAGTAAAAACTTCAATTTGGAAATGTTGTTAGTTATACAAGATGGAAGATTAGAAACTTAAATTTGAAGATTATACTAACTATACTAGTAAAGTTTAAATTATATAAATTAATCTAGATTACACATTTAATACCATAAATCAGCAAATTCTAAAATTTGTAAATTATGCAAATAATATAAACAACAAAATTGAAAGCTAAAATTATTAATAATATATAATAGCAAATTGTATACTAATTGTCATACTACCAGTACAAATATTAGTATAACAAATTCAATTAAAATTCAGAAATTTAAGTTTCCTCTATCTAATACTCTTGACACAGTATTAAATCTATTCAATCAAGTTCCTTTTTTCTCTTATTAAAACCTCAATCTATCTTCTCACCTCCTTTCCCATTTTGGCGGGAAGCGACTTAAATTCAATTTCCTCAAAGCAAACCTTAACTATTATCCTAATCTATCCTATCCATAATATACTGTTTGAAAACTAAATAAAATGCTTGTAAAAAATCATAAATAAGCTAACACTTACAAAAATCTTCATGATGACCGCGTAACGATTAAAATCAAAATTCCTTTATCGATCACGTAACGACACGAAAATCTTGAAAATCGACGATAGTTGACTTCACTGTAATCTTCGGATGGAGAAGTAACAAGAGTTCGTTCTATCTAGCAATGTCCAGAAGTACGCGAGCAGACGTGTCACGATGAGGCTTTATAGGCGGCAACAGTACTTAGTTTCTGTATCCTTTCCGCCCCGCCACTGTTTCGAACAACTTGTAGGGGAAAATATGTTTTAAATATTCGTCTATTCATATGCCACGTGAGGACTGTGTTTAAGATCGTTTAATCAATTACACCTGTCACAGAAATATCCACATTTGAGGTACGGACAATTGAAAAGGATCAATAAGCGATACTTTTGGTAAATTGTTGAATTGGGAACTTTTTTAAGTATATCATTTTTATTGCAAATAGGTGGGTACTTTAAATTGTTGTGGAGGGTTGGAAATTTAGGGATTTGGACAGTTTGGAATTTCAGAACTTGGGAGGTGGGAGATTTGAGAGAATTGTGAATAGGAGTGTTTGGAGAGTTGGGAAGTTGGGGATTTAGGGATTTCGGAGTTTAGGAATTAGCGATTTAGGGAATTTAGGAATTTGGGATTTTGGGGATTCTGAAATTTTAGGGTTTGAGGATTTTAGAATTTGGGGCATTTGGATTTTGGGGGATTTGGAATTTGGGAAATTTGGAATTTGGGGAACTGAGAATTTGGGGGATTTGGAATTTGGGGAATTTGGAATTTGGGGAATTGGGAATTTTGGGAATTGGGAATTTTGGGAATTGGGAATTTGGGGGATTTGGAATTTGGGGGATTTCAAATTTGGGAAATTTGGAATTTGGGGAATTTGGAATTTGGAGAATTTGGAATTTGGGGAATTTGGAATTTGGGGAATTTGGAATTTGGGGAATTTGGAATTTGGGGAATTTGGAATTTGGGAAATTTGGAATTTTAGAAATTTGGAATTTGGGAAATTGGGAATTTGGGGAATTTGGAATCTAGGGAATTTGGAATTTGGAGAATTTGGAATTTGGGGAATTTGGAATTTGGGGAATTTGGAATTAGAGGAATTTGGAATTTGGGGAATTTGGAATTTAGGGCACTTGGAATTTGGGGAATTTGGAATTTGGGGAATTTGGAATTCGGGGAATATTGGAATTTGGGGAATTTGGAATTTGGGAAATTTGGAATTTTAGAAATTTGGAATTTGGGAAATTGGGAATTTGGGGAATTTGGAATCTAGGGAATTTGGAATTTAGGAAATTTGAAATCTAGGGTATTTGGAATTTGGGGAATTTGGAATTTGGAGAATTTGGAATTTGGATCATTTGGAATTTGGATCTTTGAAAATTTGAAAATTAATTAATTTATAAATTTCAGTATTTGAAAATTTAGGGATTTGGAAACTTGGAAATTTGAAAATTTGCAAACTAAAATATCCTTCGAATTCTCAAGTATGTAATCCTACGCACAAGTCCTAGACGTCAAATAATAATTTAAATAAAGCAATTATTATTAATATCAACCTTAATACTGATAACATCTACATTCATTACAATTAAAATTGATATTAACGTTGATAGTAAAATTTGATAAAAATTAAAAGCATGATCCACCAAAACTTTCAGCACCTGTAATTAACGAAATAAAAATGGCAATTAGCCTTCAGGGAATTTATGTTTCCTGACTGACGCTGTAGTCGAATACAAGGTCACTTTGATCCGCAACAATGTTATTATAATCACAAACGAGAAAGTGTATTATTACATAAAAATGTAACCGTGGCAATATAACGGAAATCACAATGAAAATTTTTGTTCTTGTATCGTTCAACTTAATTTGCAACCCACGATAAAATCAAAATGAAAATTTGACACTGAACAAATTAACTATAATTAATGAACTAACTCTCAATTAATTCAGACAATAAATAATTCAAGACTGCCGTCAAACTGCAATTTTCCTGAAAAGTTGGATACTGTAACGTGTTACATAACGAAGCAATTCTGTTTAAAGTTCAACAGCTCGGCGCGCCTGTGTTCTCTGCAAAAATGAAACCCAAAATGCACGGAATGACAGTCAAATTTAGCTGTTGCATTCTTCAAGACTCGTACATTGGAATAATAACAAAGAAAAGTCGTGAGATTGTTCGAAGCCTAATTACCCGAACGACCTCTTAATACGAACTGCCTTTAAACGGCTGTTATTAGATCAGCCAGTTTGCAGTGTCTCGTAAAACACGGGTTAGGATGACCTCGCAACAAGATTCAGATCGTCAGATTTGCCACGGATCATCACAGGGCGTATTCCTTTCACTGGATGTCTGTTACGAGCAGGATGCACGATCCAACGAATCGTTGCACCGCATCGACGATTCTTGCGACACTCCCTCTTTTAAACACCAACGCATTCTGATCTGTCGAAATTTTTCTAATTCGATTAGCTTATCTTCCCTTCGATTGATAATCTTTTGCTCTGTGAACAATGAGGATGCGCGGGACTGAACGCAAGGTGGTTGAATGGTGATTGAAGTTGAAGCTGAGTGTGCTGCTTGCTTTGAAATTACAAGTGGAGATGGGGAAGTAAATGGACAATAAAATATTCTTTGTTCTGAGGAAAATCGATGTAGATTTTAGGAACATCTTAGGTAATTTTGGAAGTTACAGTGAGAAATTTGGAAAGAGGTTATTTGACTGTTTTGGAAGTTTTGGTATTAATTAAACTTAACGGTGTGTGATGTAGACTTATTCTAAAATTAAAAATGAAGTTGGAAATGGACGCCAAGAATATCTCTTAAACTAGTGGTTTTTCTATATAGATAGGTTAATAATTTTTTTATAGAAAATGTTAAATTATGATAATTAGTATATAAAGAAAATATTGTGGTATTAAAAAAAATAGTAGAATTGTGAAATTGTAGAAGGATGGAATAGTTTAATTGTAAAATGGTGGAATGATAGAATAGGTCAATTGTAGAATGGTAGAATGGTAGAATAGGTCAATTTTAGAATAGTAGAATGATAGAATAGGTCAATTGTGGAATAGTAGAATGATAGAGTAGGTCAATTGTGGAATAGTAGAATGATAGAACAGCTCAATTGTGAAATAGTAGAATAACAGAATAGGTCAATTGTAGAATAGTAGAGTGTGAGAATAGATGAATTATAGAATACTAAAATGATAGAATAGGTCAATTGTGGAATAGTAGAATGATAGAACAGCTCAATTGTAAAATAGTAGAATGACAGAATAGGTCAATTGTAGAATAATAGAATAGTGGAATAGGTCAATTGTAGAATAGTAGAGTGTGAGAATAGATCAATTATAGAATACTAAAATGATAGAATAGGTCAATTGTGGAATAGTAGAATGATAGAACAGGTCAATTGTGGAATAGTAGAATGATAGAATAGCTCAATTGTGGAATAGTAGAATGATAGAATAGGTCAATTGTAGAATAGTAGAATAGTGGAATAGGTCAATTGTAGAATAGTAGAATGATAGAATAGGTCAATTGTGGAATAGTAAAATGATAGAATAGCTCAATTGTGGAATAGTAAAATGATAGAATAGGTCAATAGTAGAATGGTAGAGTGGTAGAATATTAAAGCGGTCAAATAGTGAAATAGTAAAATAGTAAAATAGTAAAATAGTAAAGTAGTCAAATATTAAAATAGTAAAATAGTAAAATAGTAAAATAGTAAAATAGTAAAATAGTAAAATAGTAAAGTAGTAAAATATTAAAATAGTAAAATAGTAAAATAGTAAAATATTAAAGTAGTAAAATATTAGAGTAGTAAAATACTAAAACAGTAAAACTGTAAAACAGTAAAATATTAAAATAGTAAAACAAAATAGTAAAATATTAAAGTAGTAAAATATTAGAGTAGTAAAATACTAAAACAGTAAAACTGTAAAACAGTAAAACAGTAAAATAGTAAAATAGTAAAACAGTAAAATAGTAAAATAGTAAACTAGTAAACTTTGTAATATCAGATCAAGCTTTCCATATGTCGAAATCAGTTATTGAATACCATACAACCGAATGACTGCAAAACGCATCGAACAAACGAAACAATCACACACTTTTTACAAAACGATGAGACAAATAGTCGAAGACAATGATGCTCATTTATTTGCGTAGAGACGTGTAGGTTAAGTATCATGATTTAGAAATTTATCTTTCATGACCAGTTTTGCGTATGCCTCCCTTTAATGCCAGCCTATCAATTGTATACTATAGGTTAGATATAACCAATAAAGTGGAAGAAATTGAAGCCTATTGAAATGTAAATATCGTTGCACATAATAATGTCATGATGAAGCGTATAAATAGCAATTATAATTTCCTCATTTGTTATTGTGAGGTTAACCACGGAGTCTGCTATACAATTCTGCGTCTGCTGGAAATAACCTAAACTCATAAAGCAGTCACTGCAACTGAATAGTTGATTTTCTAATTTTTAAACTGCTCCATAAAAAGATAACTGTTTATTTAGACTATTTACTAATTTATTTTTCAATCCTGACACAATAAAAATTTCGATTATTTGTATTAATATAACGCTGACCAAAATTAAACTTTCGTCACAGATTATTTTTAACAAGAATTAATTTCTGCCATCAGTAATTCAAAAGAAAGTTCTAAGCATTCATAATGGTAAATTTTGTTGAAGAAAATTGGTACAGCATAACCTTTGAAGTTGTCCTCATTACGACGTCTAAATGGAAGATTGATTTTGTAAATAAATTACAGCATTCAGATCGTGCATATGATCCTATGGAAGTACAAAGTATTGTGTATTAAAGGTTGAATCAAACCAGTATGAGGATTTGCAGAGTACCGCCCTCGGATCTAAGCTCGCCTTACCTAATTGTTTGAAAAAGCAATTATGATCATCCTTCATCTCTGGTTACCTAAGACAATCGCATGTTATTCGACGATATTTATGCATATCTTCTTACTTACATTCTTCTGCATGCATTCCACTGTTCAGATAGCCATTTATTAGATTAAAGCAATTTGAATATTGAACGTGTACTTGTAGTTGCAAAACATTTGATTGGCAATGAAATTTTACTTGAAAAATACCAGAGAATGCAAAACTATTGTAAACCTAATAAAAAATTACACAATTTTATTTTATATAATAAAAGTAATTTTAATTACATTTATTTTGTATACAAAAAATATTTGAAGTTATTAAATTAAAATATGTAAGTATTTTTAGTAAGTTAAAATATTCAAGTAATTTTATTAAGCTAAAATATTTAAGCATTTTTATTAAGTTAAAACATTTAAGCATTTTTACTAATAGCTAAAATAATAAAATATATACATACATAAAATTATATAAAACATATAATTCTCTATATTTACATATTTCTTGTTTCAAAATTCTTCATCGTTACAAAATATTTTCTCTGCTTCATAGAAATGAATTAAACAAAAGAGCACTGTAATAAATAATTTATGTAGTTCAAGATAAAGTTCCCCGTCATCGACCAGAAAAGAGTAATAAAGATTCCAGATAATTTCAAAGGATTAACAAATTCAGGATAATCTGTAATCTATATAGTTTGTCGAATGAAGATGGGTGGGTCGGGAAAATACAAATCTCGTGCTTAGGCGTGATACGACCTCTCAGTTATGCCGCACAGGATTGGCCAATATAAGAAGAGCATCTAACATAATTCGCCCTCGGATTCATCCTTTCGTATTTTAACGTATTAATAGATCCGTTACAAAACATACCTTTTCTTTGTTTATGAACAACGGAAACATACCTGTCCTTAATCCTTTAGAATTTAAATGCGTTACAGTCGAGAGAAAATCCGGCTTCCATGGGGACAATGGCAACCTGGCGACGAGGACTGTCGATGAGTTTCAGTTAATAGATTTGCAAATTTAACTTTGGAACTTTGACAAGTTGAGAATTTAGGTCATTTAGAAATTTGGAGATTGAGGAAATTCTCAAGTTTTTAAATTTTTAAGAAATTCGGTAACCTAGAGATTTACGAAATTTGCAATTTGGGGGTGTAGAGATTTGGAGGTGTTGGGATTTAGGGATGTAGAGATTAGGAAACGTAGGGATTGGGGATGCAGGGATTTGGGGATGTGGAGATTTAGGGTTGTGGAGATTTGAGGATGTGGGAATTTGTAGATGTGGAGATTTGGGGATGTGGAGATTTGGGGATGTGGAGATTTGGGGATGTAGGGATTTAGGGACGTAGAGATTTGGAGGCGTATGGATTTGGGGACGTAGGGATTTGGGGATGTGGAGATTTGGGGATGTAGGGATTTGGGGACGTAGGGATTTGGGGATGTGGAGATTTGGGAACGTAGGGATTTGGAGACGTAGGGATTTGGGGATGTGGAGATGTGGGGACGTAGGGATTTGGAAATGTGGAGATTTGGGGATGTAGGGATTTGGGGACGTAGGGATTTAGGGACATAAGGATTTGGGGATGTAGGTATTTAGGGACGTGGAGATTTGGAGACGTAGGTATTTAGGGATGTGAAGATTTGAGGATATAGAGATCTGGGGACGTAGCAATTCGGGGATGTAGAGATTTGGATATGTAAGGATTTGAAAATATAGAGATTTGTGGATGCAGGGATCTGGAGACGTAGGAATTTAATAGATTTGAAAATGTAAACACTTGGGGATGTAGGGTATATAACAATTTGAGCACTTAGGTCTTCAGGGATGTTGACATTTGCACAAGTAGGGTCTTAGAAACATACGTATTTGAACATTTTGAAAAGAAAATAGTTTCTCTCCTCTCTTGCCCCCTAGCTAGCTCTCCTACTTGCAAGGCTACTAGTTACTAGCATAATGTGGACGCTGCCTAAGAGGAGGACCCAGAAGACCAAGACGGATGCTGATCTCAGACAACGTGCCACCAAAGATCAAGATAATTACATAATATTCCAGCCATTACAAAAAGTAAATCTGATAATTGATATTATCTCATCTTCAAAAACATACGAATTTCATGAACAAATTTCATATTGAATCTTGCGATATTTATTTCTAACCCTGCGAACTCGCTATTCTACGAATAAGATTCATTGTTCCGGATCTAGTTAGATATATAGAATCTTAAAACGATAAGACTCAATGTCACGCTCTAATGAATAACGTCCACACTCGAGTTTTGCGTAAACAAAAGGATAAAGATAGTCAGATAGATTATAATCTCAACAGACTGTTCCTCCCTTTCTACTTGTATAAGAAGACTGGACTATCGTTTCTCATCATCTTTCGGTTTCCTTTGCAATTGCTTAGTCGTTTCTTGAATCGTGCACACATCAAGGCGCGAAACTTCAACGTTGAAGTAATCGATGGACAGAAGAATGCAAACTGCAATGCAGTTACGAGATTATACTGACAGAATTTACCACATTAATTTCATTGTTTCCGGGGATTTTCCGATCTACGATATCTCTGACAAATTCGAAGATTAATACGTTGGACGTTACAGTGAAGTCAGCTGTGTACTATAAGGTACCAATCATAATTAAATCAATGTGTTAATTTTTTGTTACAATTTTTGTAATATTATGTTTGAATGGAGATGCTAAAATATACATACTATATATTGTTGATATTTCAACAATTTTAAATTTATAAAAATGTCAGTTATTATTGTTGGTGTTGTCTTGACAAAGTGCATTGAGGTCTAACATATTAAAACTCTTCTAACTATTTATTCTGCTATTTATGTTAAGTTTGCAAATTATTTATACTGCAGTACAAATATATATTGTACTCATAGTGCGTTTGAAGGTAAGTAAATTATTTACACAGTTTTCCAGAAACAATTATATTAACCAACGTTCCACATTTTTGAATGGAGATCACTACTGAAATATACATACTATATATTGTTGATATTTCAACAATTTTTAATTTATAAAAATATCAGATATTATTGTTGGTGTTGTCTTGACAAAGTGCATTGAGGTCTAACATATTAAAACTCTTCTAACTATTTATTCTGCTATTTATGTTAAGTTTGCAAATTATTTATACTGCAGTACAAATATATATTGTACTCATAGTGCGTTTGAAAGTAAGTAAATTATTTACACAGTTTTCCAGAAACAATTATATTAACCAACGCTCCACATTTTTGAATGGAGATCACTACTGAAATATACATACTATATATTGTTGATATTTCAACAATTTTTAATTTATAAAAATGTCAGATATTATTGTTGGTGTTGTCTTGACAAAGTGCATTGAGGTCTAACATATTAAAACTCTTCTAACTATTTATTCTACTATTCATGTTTTTGCAAATTATTTGTACTGCAATACAAATATACATTGTACCTAAATTAAGATGTGTCTAAAGGCAAGGAAAAAATCATTTACACAAGTTTTCCAGAAACAATTATATTAACCAACGTTCCACATGAGAACAATCAGTATACATGTAACTGTAGAGGCATGACAAAACATGTAAAAGTAAAGCGATATCGGCGATTAGTTTACAAATGAGGATGTTCCGTTGATGGTGGGTGAGCTCTGATGTATTCGATAGCCTTCTGGATCAAAGGTGGAATTTGGTGAATGTGTTCGCCTTCAGGTTGGAAGCCATTTTCGTCGGCAACGTATTTCACGGCAATCGGTGTTCCATCAGGAGACGTGTACTGATATTGTCCTTGAGCAACCACGAAAGGAGTACCGTCTTTAGCATGGGACGCTACCAGGGTTCCACTTTCACCGTGATAAATCCCGTTATCAGTCTCGTAGGAGTAAGAATAGGATCCGTCTGGTGATATGTCTTGGGCCTGTTTCAAAATTGCTGCGGGCGGTTGATGGGGCACATCGGCTGAAGCAACGGCCAAAACAGCGAGCGAAACGATCTGAAATTGATAGATTTTTTATTTGCAGTTTATTGGAAAATTCGGTTTTGGTGCTGGAATTATATGAGAAGTGTGAAATCTTGAAATCTTGGAAAGTTGACGAACTTGACAAAGAACTTACAAATTTAAAAATGTATAAACCTGACAAAGAACTTAAAAATTTAAAAATGTATATAACTTGACAAAGAATTTACAAGTTTAAAAATGTATAAACTTGACAAAGAACTTGCAAATTCAAAAATGTATAAACTTGACAAAGAACTTAAAAATTTAAAAATGTATAAACTTATAAATTGGTTAAACATGTCATGATGTGGTGTTAATATATTATATAGAACTACATGACCTCTTTGAACCTTCCATAGAGAAACACAATGTACATACAAAATTAATAAAACTTTTCTTAAAAATAACAAATTTTTTCACAAACAAAAATCGTCAAATTCGTTGAATAACTTAAATCGCTCAATAATTTAACAATTTTACTTAATTTTTTATGTAGCATTTACTGCATTTATTGTATCTTCAAATGCAACACGATCTTGAAACACAAAATGTCAGAATAAAAGAATATAAAATCCATGCACATAAAAAATTATGTTAAAATGAGAATGAAATATAAAAATGTTTTGTCAAGTTCAATAATTGTTAAAGTATGATTAATAGTGATGAGAATGATATTCAGTCAATATACTTTATAGAAGGTTTTAGCTTGAAGAAGCAAAGAGTTAATAGAATAAAAAAAACACTCACGAGGAACTTCATTTTGAGATGAAAGAAACAAGTCACTGTGTTAATCCCACAGAAGAAGCTACGATGTCAAATGTGTAGTCTGAGTGACACGAATGTGCTTTTATACGAAACTCTAAACTTCACTTTCCCCAAATATGCTGCTATTCAAAAATAAAGATCCGATTCGGAAGCGAAGGATAGAAAAAGATGGCCGATGCTCCACCACCACTGTTTCAACGAAGGAGAATCTCCTTTACAAAATTTATTCATCGCTTTGACATTTCCACTTTGCCTAAATTGATGGCTTGTATAATCGTGGGTAACACATTGAATAACTCTACCGAATGATGACGAAAATAAATCCAAAACTTACTTACGCTTTCGTATTTGGTAAATTCGCAATTTTACTTATTTGGAAAAATTAATATAGGTAATAAGTATGTAATTTTACTAGTTTTAGAATTTGCAAATTTGTGAATTAATTTCTGTAGGTAGTAAACTTGTACCTTTTCAAATTTTCGAATTTGCAAATTTATAAATTAATTTCTGTAGGTAGTAAACTTGTACTTTTACAAATTTTCGAATTTGCAAATTTATAAATTAATTTCTACGAATAGTGTACGTGTAATTTTTTAAATTTTCGAATTTGCAAATTTACAAACATGGGAGGTTACGAATTTACAAACTTTAGGAACACAGAAATTTTAGATTTCATAATTTACGAATTCTCACATTTAGAAATTTAGATATTTGGTAACTGGGACACTGAATTTTCTAATTTTTAAATATTCAAATTTAGGAGTTCGTAAGCTTGCAAATTTGGGATTTTGAGAATTTGGGAATTGAAAATATGGGTGGTTGGAAATTTTAGGATTTTTAAATTTTGGTATTCTTTAAAATTTAGAAATTTTTGAATTTAACAATTTATAAGTTTGCAAATTTGTAAAATAATAAATTTAGAAATTTGAGAGTTTTATGATTCGAACAAAATTATTTTGTAATATTAAAGACTTACAACATTTTATTAATCTTCAAAAATTAAGAAATTTTGTTAATTTTCAAAAATTAAGAATTTTTATTAATCTTCAAAAATTACGAAATTTTAGTAATCTTCAAAAATTAAGAAATTTTGTTAATCTTCAAAAATTAAGCAATTTTCTCAATCTCCAAAAATTAAGAAATTTTATTAATCTTCAAAAATTAAGAAATTTTGTTAATCTTCAAAAATTAAGAAATTTTGTTAATCTTCAAGAATTAAGAAATTTTGTTAATCTACAAAAACTAAGAAATTTTATTAATCTTCAAAAATTAAGAAATTTTATTACTCTTCAAAAATTAAGAAATTTTGTTAATTTCTTTTTTTTTTAAGTAACAAAGAAATAATTCGAGTAAACAAAAATATGCAGTTCCCATAAAAAATTATAGATGTCCTTGAAATGTTCGAAGCGCTTTCACTTCCGGAGTCGAGGTATTCATCATTCCATGTTCCATTCAACATCACTTGCTGTTCGAAATTTACATAAAATTCGTATGAAATTTTTTTTACAACCTTCTATAATTTCTTTAGTTTGATCCGACTGCCTAGAACACCTTGTATATTAAGGACAATGATAGACTCTTCTTTGTGTTCGATACATTGACTTTTAATATTTGTACAAGGTTACACAACGTGAATATTATTGCACCTTACTATATCATAAACATTGATTTTTGTTTAATTTCGATTATGCAATCTCAAAAATATCAGGTGTCATATTTAGAAATGGCATGATGTAATGACCTTTTATTTTTTTTAATATGAATCTTTTATTTTATGGGATAACCATGAACCTGTTTATAATTTGAATAAAGCCGCTTCTTTGATTTTTCTATTCATTCATATAGAAATGTATAAATATTATCTAAATCAAAGGCAATTTAAAAAGAGATATTCTTCCATGAAGAAAGAATAATTTCTTACATCTTCGAGAAATATTCAAAGCTACAAAGTTATGAGGTTTTCCAATTAAAATAGTGCAATACATCATATCAGTTAATTTAAAAATAACATGAACAAATTAATATTTCTTCAATTGAAACCTGTTCAGTGCATCTTAGAAATAGGCTTACATTACAACTTTTTAATAATTTTCCATATCTTCCCACAAAATCATACACATTGATCGAAGAGATTATAAATTATTCGTCATTTCTGGTTTCTTATGAAACATCTTAAAATATATGTATCCACTGACCTCGTGCAAAGTGGCTGCTAGGTATCTTTATAATCTTTAAAAGTCAAAAATGTAACTTAATTAAATTCGTGTCGGTGCGGTAATTCATTGCTTTACTCTATCATTGCAAAAATCACAATACCTCAATTTTCGACACATTAGAATTTGTTTATAATAATCTATTATTTTGTGGTAATTGTTTATTATTCGTTTGTCATTTTAGTTATTTGAATAAATTGGAGAACCACCATTACGAATTATAATACAGAAAGAGGCGATAATATCGAAGACTCTCGGTATATTGCCATTTCCATGCAACGCTCTAGTCAATTAATTTTGAGCTGAAAATAATACAATTGTCTACACATCGTTCAAATCACTGTACCTTCTGTTTTATAAATTTTGTTAAAGAAAAATTGCCTGACAGGACAAGTATATTTATACGATCATAAACGAGCAGCCATTTGCAACAGCTGACTAGATATAAATATTAAAAAAAACTCTTTTCTTGCTTATATTTTGAGAATTTTTTTGTTGCTCATATTTTAAGAGAAATATTTCTAATTTTATTTCCATATATTTAAAAAGTGAACTTATCTCCTGACACATTTCTGATCCTACTTTTATAACGCTACGCACTATAAAATAGTATTTATCTAATAAAACATAATACTAGGTATTATGTCAATCGTATAAACGCACGTTGCCATCCATCGAATTTTAACCTTTCTCTATTTTACACCGTCTGACGGTTTCTCGTATATTTGTATAGGAATACTGGTTTCCACACTAGTTTACCGTTCTACCTTTGAACCAGCATATTACGACTGTTACTTTTCACACGATGAGGGCATCCTATGACATTTCATGAATGTGCAGATTACCTGTAGGAGTCTATGGTATGAACGTTGAATTTGAAATCGCAAAACGATCATTAACATTCTGCTCGATGATTGCAGATGAAATTGATAAGTATACACTGCCACCTTTTCTCCTAACATTTGCGGCTAAACGTTCATTGTGAACACATGTAATTGGTGACATGTTACGCGGACATGTAACACGTCATGTTGAGTTAATCTTATCACAAAAGAGCTATGTAGTGCTTCTAGAAACACTACCATGCCAATTATTTCGCTTTGCAATTTGTAAAAATTATCATTCTCTTTTAATTAAATGGTATGTTCAAATTTATATTCTTAGTTAAAATATCATATGAATTTATTGCATAAAAAAACAATATTAAGTATAGAAAGAATAAGTATAGAAAGGCAATAGTTTTTTGTAAAATAATTACTTAATGAAAGTAGTGTGGAAGTATGACTCACGTTATCTACATTTAAATTTACGCGCGCTTTATGGAAGTAGCGCAATTAGTGTCATCTAGACACCATACGCGAAAGTATCACAACAAAGAATTCTATTTTATCGTAAAATGATACACTGTTATGTCTAATTAATGTTCACAAATTATTCTATTATCTTAGAACAGTAATTAGATTCATATTATAGTCAATTAATAATAAAATCAACTATATTAATTACAAATAGTGCAGTTTATGGGCTAAAAAATTGGCGTCCATCTAGCGGCGAAACAGGTGAACTGAACCTAAAAAATGAGGGTCCGAACCAGTGTTGGGCAGTCGTGAGATTTTATCGCACGCGAGAGCTTTATGCGCATGCGTCAGCTGACGTCACAGCTTGCTGCCAATGCCGTACCTAGCCGGTACACGCAGTGGTGACTGATGAGGGCACCTTAATGATCCTACATAATTTTTCAAAAATTCTTATAATTGCACTGTAAACTATGAATGTATAGGTTGGGTTAGATTACATTAGGCTGGGTTAGGTTACTTATATATATAACTGTATATATATATATATATATATATATTCAATTTATTATTTTTATAAGTAACATTTTCTGTTTACTAATGTTCAAACTTCCACGTAAAAATATTATTAAATCGTGCAACAATTTTATTTTTCAGTTCCAAAATTGAATATACACACAATCTGCCTCGATCTTCGACAAAGAATTAAGCCAATAAAGAGTTACATAAATTAAAAATTGTACAAAATATATTTGC